TTTGTGACAATTTTTCATTAAAACAGAACATGTTCGAAAAAAAAAATAAGCGCTACAGAAAATGATGATCTCAAGAAATACTTTTTACAATAAAATTTTCAACTTTCTCTCATTTGTAATTGAGAAGCTAGATAGTGTTCAATTTGGTTGGAAGATTTCGTCTAACCTGTCTCTTTTGGATTTCTACACAAGTTTTTCGACTTTTCTTCAATCTATCAGTAAGCTCATGCATGGAAGTATCACAAGCTCTGAAAGTTTTATTTCGTTCTTTTAAAATTAATCTAAACTTCGCTACATTCTTGAAAGAATCATCGTTGTGTGAATCGAGAGTTTATAACTTTTACCTTCCTACAACAACATTTTAACAATAATATTCTTCTAGATAAAATGATAAATGCACAACAAATTAATAGTTTAGTTTATACATCATTCTCCATATGATTAATAATAACTATAATTGGATTGAAATCACCAAATATAATAACCCAATTCGATCCAATGAAACATTTTGAACAATAAGACAGTATGTTATTTTGGTTTGCTTTTGAATGAATGAAGCCTCATATAACTACAAAGCTTTATTAAAATAATTGAAATGTCTTTCATAGAATTCAGAACTATTTTAAAATACAAATTCTAAAAAATATTTCAATAGAGTTACAATTGCTCAATCTTCTTTTATTGCTAATATCCATTGTGTTAAACTTTTTTATTAGATGCATTGAAAAAACCATTTAACCATCCATTATTGACTAGCCTCAATAATGGGCATTATTTTGATATACTTGTCGATTGATTTAAAGATAACAATAGTCTTGTTGAAAACATTCATTGCTTAATCGAATGATAGTGCATCAATGATATTTTCACGGTAACCATTCATTGATGTATAAAACGAAGGACAAGTAACAAAGTATACTTTGACGGCATATTTTTACAATAGGAAATAATTCTTCCATGTTATCAATATACCATTAATGTATATCATCATTATGAATAGATGATTTTAATACATCTAAGTTATTTTGTGAATTAGGCATGGCAGTACCAAATCATTGAGCCTTGGACATGATTTCTTTGAATTTGTTTTCATGCTTAGTGGCCATCGAGTTAAAATATACAGGAATATCAGCAAGTAATTGTAAATATTAAACTAATGATGATACAACATGTTCATAAAGATCTTGATGAATCTGAAAAAGAGAATACTAAAGCTATCAATATGTTCTCATAATTTTTAAATGGTTCAACGAGAAAATATGGTTGATGTCGTGTTTTATTCATTGGAATGTGCTCAACAAAATAAATATTTCCGTGTGTTTGTTTGTTAAAATAAATAAGATATATAGTTTTACTTCCGAAACTATCTCTCTGCGACGCTTAACATTTCTTTTGAATATATGAAACATTTTTATAGAACACATCTGAATGAAATTCATCGAAGTTTCTGAAAGGAAAACATATCATATTTGATATAGAACTCGAAAGATATCACCATGGATAAACTCGTATAAATTAGTTAAAGTATTAACAATAGTTTCAATCTCTTGTCACCATTTGTTGTTTGTTGAGTTACGAATTCAGATGAATTCGTAGTAAATTCATAAGAAGCAGTTTTCTTAATAACATGCAATCGAATCTTATATGACCGAATAGTTGCAATTTTTATTTACGAATAGTTCTTACATTTTGAAGAATATGAGAAATTCAGCATGTAGTGTTTTGTAGTGACTCAATGCTAAATGATTTACTGTAAAAAATCAATGCCTTTTAACTGGGAAAATGGATGTGGATGTTGTTTTATTTTTTACTCATAAATTAACCTACAGAATCAAATTCATCTCAGAAGATTGCTAGACGTTCTTACATATGTTTATTAGTATGCTATTGTATGAACACACTAGTCACTTGAAAAAAAAAAACTAAATTTTGTTCATAATAAGTTTATTAATTTTCGATCAATCATATTTTTCTGACTATTCATTACTATGAATTTTTGATTAAGAAGTATTACCACATGAAATACAAAGTGATAAGAATAAAGATGATTGTTAGATACATAGTCAAACTAATCTATGAAGAAAAAGCTGTTGTATTCGGATTTAGAGAATAAACTCTAGTCCAGAATTTGAGAGAAGAGCGGAGTAATAACGCTTAAAATTATTATATAGGCTTGTCCTTAACAGCTTCAACTACAAGACGCTTCCATGTAACCATTCCATTTGTTTCTTCGTCAAAATAATGATATGCATCATCGACTCTAAACCATTCACTTGAACATTTTTTTGGTGGTTTATCACTACCAGCTTCTGCTTGTTGAACTCCTTCATATCTCCACCAACAATTATTAAAGGCACATGTTTTTGGTTCAACAAACTGTTCACATATTGGACATACTGTTGTACTTTCATCTGGATCGGCTAAAATATCAAATTTTTTGTAACCAATGCGCATAATAACGCTGTGGCCGTGAGCTTCGCATTCCAAATTTGAGCATCGACCCTCGAGACATAAACCACGGATAGTTTTTCGCCATTTTGGAGCTTTTGTAGACCATTCTTTTCGTTTCAAACCTTTACTATTACTCACATCAACAAATCTCGATCCCATAAAACCTAGATTGGCTCGATAAGTTTCACCAAGAAATATTGCATTCAATTGAGCATCTTCTGTTATCTTATAATCCAACAATGCTTTCTTATCTTCCTCAAGTTCTTCGTTATTGAATGTAAAACATAATACGAGTAAGTCTTCCTCAGATTTTGTCTTTTTACAAAAGAGTTCTTTCAGTCTTCTAATTGTCGTGGAAGGCTCTACGTCGAAGCTATGATTTTGTGCCATTCCTGTGAAGTTTTGAATATAAATCCTCATGATGAAGCTTTTACTATAAAAAGAAGAATGCTAAAAAAGTAAACGATATAACATAGAATTGTTTTTGCTTTGAAATTAGCTTACCTTTTATTCAGAATAGTATCAAAGAAATTTCACTTTTCGTTCGATAATCTTGAAGAAATTGATAGTCTAAAATTAAAAGCAAAATAAAATGTAGCTATTTCTATAAACATTTAATTTCCATTGATGAAGTCTAACCAACATGGTGAATTATTTGAACACTTTTTTTGGGACAATTTATTTATTAATATACCCATAAAATGTAGCGTGAGTCACCCTGCAGTCACTATTCTCAAATACTAACAATATATCTCATTTACCTTAACAATAATGGTGAATTTGATCAATAATAAACTATTGTTAAATGAAATAGAAAATTCTTATGTTACCTCAAATACTATGAGTAAGTGTTTACTTCTCTTTTATGTCATTGTTTTTTTTTTGATACTTGGAATTTTCTTTTTTCTTTCTTTATGCTATGCAAATAAACATGACGTGTACTTTTTTCTCCAATAAACAATTCTATAGCAACTATGAAAAGTAATAAACGAAATGGGTAACATCACGAGAGAAAAGATAACTATTCAAAATGATCCTACTCCATAGAACATGAGTGATTGTAACATTTTATTCATTAGAAAATGAAACGCTTATTTTTCTTTTCATCAATCAGTTTATCTGAAGATAAATTGATTAAAGCTACAGGAAACATTTCACCTAGGATGAAGAGTTTTTTTCGAGAAAAATATGCTCATCAGAGCGCATATTCGAGATTTTGACATCAGATTTTCCTTAATGATTAAAAAAATTAATAGCCTTTGCAATAATCGTTTTGATTTCATTTTGTATTGTCTTGCTGTAACATTTGGCATCGAAATCGAAAACGCTTTTAGTCACGATTGACTGTTAGCTCCACTGCTGTGTCATACTCAAATAGATACAGTAATAATTCATCGATCAAAAATTTAAAACATGTAGTCTCACTTATTAACTTGGATTCTAGTTTTCAATACACTTTTTTTGTGTATCAAAAAGTAGTATGTAATCTAGTTGTGCTTCTTTCTCTCACTGTCACATGACTTTTATTTGTTGAACTTTCACCCATTTGCTTTTTTCCAGCGGCACAAAATGCAAGAACGAAAAAGAAGAAAGACAATGTTTCGACTCCTTCATTTTCACAACGCTGTCGTAATGCATTTGAAAGAATTGCCTCTTGGTGTTCGCCACGAAATGAGTGTGAAAGAGAACGAAACAGATTTCTTCTAGTTAAAAAGGAGTCTGCATTCTAGCTCAGAAATGATATCAGGAGAGTTTGAGTTCAATCAGTTTTTCAAACAAAAACCAAGATTGATCAGCTGAGATCCTATCGAAACTATGCTAGGATGTCAAATAAGTTCTGCGTGCTTTTATTTACATTCAATCTATCTGAGCTTGTATTTCTATCGTATAACCTCTATTGTAAGACATTACAGCACCGATAGTGATCCGAACAAATTGAACTTTCAAAATTTATGCTACATTGTACATTGCATAATGTTTCTTTCTTTCTATAAGATATCGAATTGTACTGAGTCTGAATCCCGTGGTCCTATTTGTTCCATCTGTTTTTGCAATTTCTTTCGTTTGATAGAGCGCAAACAGTCTTTTTCTCAAGGGATTATCTGGCAAAGCATCATTTGCAGCGCATTTGAATACTGATATCGGTGCCAAAATATAAGACAGGTAGTTGTTTTTTAAATAACT